CGTAGTCAACGAGGCCCGTTCACGCCAACAAAAGGAACTCGAAGATCCGCTCGTCGAAGCGCTCCGAGAGCTCGTGGCACCAGCCCCGGGCCAGATCGTGTAGCAGCTGGCTGTCTTTCAGTTCCTTGCAGACCTCTGCGCCTGCGAAGCTATCCAGCACAGCCGGCAGCTGCCTAAAGTCTCCCAAGAGCAGAAACCGAATCTTCTTGTTCATGCTCAAACAAGCTATGTCAGCCCACAGGGGGGTATCTAACTGAGTCAGTTCTTCGATGACCAGCCAGTACCCGTTCCGCACATTGCGCCGCACCCAGTGGTTCGCCGTCTGAGCCCCCAGGCCCACGTTCTGCACGGCCGCATGGGTCTTGGTGATGATGTGCACCGTGTCCCCGTGCTCGCACAGGGTCGCCGTCCAAGCTTACGGGATCCTCGATTCGACGCCACTGCGGCTTCGCTCGGAGGGGCCGCCTCCATGCTGGGCTCGCGATACTGGCCCTTCAGCCCCGTGACCTCCTCGTAGCAACACACAGGCGTGCCGTCCCGGTGCGGGCCGGTGTTTCTTGGGACGTCCTACAACACCAGACATTGATGCATTTGAGGTACCGCCGGGGCACCTCCGCCAGCGCCTGGCAAATGCGCGCCACGGCAACGCACTCGGCGCCCATGATGTAATCACCGGGCGGTAGCTGCTTCGAGAGCAGCTCCGTCACAAAGATGTGGTTCCAGTGCGTCCCCCCGGCCGCATCCGTGAAGATCTGGCGCCAGCTGCACCCCTTGCCGTCTACTTGAGAATTTGAAGTCTTCATAGAATAGACTAATTCTAGGTCCGGGCAGACAGACCCACGAGGCTATTGATGGCCAAGCTGTTTAGGCCAATTGCGCTCCATGCGTTGCAACACTTGTTCTATAGGCACTGCTGGTCGACGTGCGCTGTGGCGTCGAGGCTCCACTTAAAGTGTTGCCACAAGGCCAGACCCGCCTCCAGCATGCAGGCGCACACGGCTTCGCGTACCAATCTGGCCCGACGAAGGGCAACAGGTCCAGCACGTCGCAGGGCAGGTCGACTTGGCCAGTCCGTTCTTCGGCAGCGGCACACATCAATGCCCTGGCAGAGTTGGTCGAGATTCCACTTTTGCAGAGGCGAGGCTGCATAGTTCTGGATGCACGTAGACAAAACCGGCTCTCGAGCGTGGTGCTGTGGTTGCTCTCCAAGCTCGTCTTGGTGCGATGACACTCCAGGTACAGGGTCTGCAGCTCTTGCTGCTGTCCGAAGGACTGGGCCACGGGGATGACGTGATCGATCTTGAAAGTGCCCAGACCTATCGGTGCGCCGCACAGCCTTTTTTTTTTGGCGTGACTGGGCCTCGTCGACTACGGCTGTAGCACTCGGTCCCTACAAACAAACAAACGACAAGCGAAAGCAAACACACAAACTAACTTCCAAAACAGTGAAACAAAGTGCGAAGCTCTACAAGGGCTGCGGCGCACAGGCTTTGCCGGTGTTAGCCGTTCAGCACAACTACGGAGCCTCAGCGACCAATCCGAAGCAACAAAGAGCCGTCACTCTGAGCTGCCCAAAGCAACAGGTGGAGCCAATTCCAAGCTCCGGCAGCCGTTCTAGTCTCGCCAGACAACGGACAACCCCTGCGCTTTGTTCCGTCACGATCGAGCACACCAAAGTCCAAAAGTCCAATGGCCATAGTGGACGGTTTACAGATCAATGGGTGCAGAGTCGTTGCGACTCAAGGCCGGGCAAATGCGGCCTGCCTCTGGGATCGTCCGCGATCCACGGCGTGCAAGACTTTACGGATTGGCTGCCGGCGTACAGCCAGTGAACCGTCCTTCACCGCATTGGCCAACCACTGCTATAGCGCGCCCGACAGGAAGCCCCACTACAGGCGATTGCGCCAAAGGCCGGGGAGACGCTAACACTGCCAAATTTCCTTGTCAAGTGCGACTTCTATGGAAGGTTCTGAGGTGGTGTCAGCCTTTCAAATCGGACAGGTGATGTGCCCAGCTTGTTGTCGGGCCGACTCCCATGCCGAAGATGTAGAAAGGAAAGAACCACAACGACGTATGTCGTCGGTTCCACCGGCACAAGTCTAGCGGTGTCTGTGTCGTTGCGACGCAAGTGGCCAAAAAGGCCGGAGCCCATGGCAGTACAGACAGGGTGTGCGGTCAAGTCCAGCAAGCAAAAGGGCACCGAGCAGCACCGCCCTTTGGCCCGTATTCCGCGTAGGCCGGCGCAAATGACCGCTGGAACGCCATCGAAGCCGATCCCGCTCAAAGTCAGCCAGAAGCGGCCAACACCCAGATGGGTCGTCAGGGCCCCACATACACGAGGCCAAGGAGTGAGATGTGGCCATCCTCTCATCCGTATGCACTTGACTGGACATACCGGTGCCCAATGAAATGGATCCCCCGGCCGCACATTGGAGAACCGCTAGGTGCGAAGATCCCAGTGGTGTTGAGAGCGGGCCAGTGCTCTTACGCGTGGATGATTAAGCAAAACAATGCCCGAGTACCGACGTGGGCAGAAGTTTCGCTCCAACACTTGCCACAATGCAGGAGCAGACTATTGTCAGAAAAGGGACATCGACGTATGTCGACGTGCTGGCAGCCTAATGCAACCCGACGCATTGAGGGCCCAGCGTGGGCACCGCTTCATTGCCCCCAAGTCCAAAGGCCGTTGAAGGTGTCAGCTCCATTGATATGCAAGTAGTTCAACTCAGCATTAGCCAATTGGCCGGCCCAATTGACGGAGCACCGGTGTGCCGAACGGGATGTGCTGCCGGTGATAAAACCTACCAACCAACGCGCGTGTTTGCCCTGGAAGTAGGTGGCCGTGGAAACCCCTGGTGAGCGCCGCCGGCAGCGCAACGCACCAATAAACAGAATGGGATACCCGAGACGAAACGAGGCCACGGCCAATTCCCACCCGTGTGGGAGGCGGCATCCGCACACCCGGGATCCACCGTGAGAAAGGCGCCCATGCCCGGCGAAACGTCCTTCCAGACCGAGTTCGCAGTCCGAAGGACGCGAGATTAGTGCGAAAAAAACAAAGCACGGGACCAGTCACTGGTTTGATAGGCTAGTCGTAGCCCGAACACTGTCGCTGGCTGGTGTCCCCCTCCGGGCACGTGCCAGGCAAGGAGGAGAACCAATCCGGTGTCATTTAGAACGAACATCGACGTATGTCGATGTCCAGGTGGCTCCACACGACGTGACTGGTCGGGACGCCGCGATCACCTGCCCGTCGCATTAGTCCCGTGTGGCTCCGGCAATTGAAACACCGAAGGCCAAAATAAGACATAACGACGTATGTCGTCTGTCACGATCGGGGTGAGCGGAAATCACCGGGTAGAGCCGGACGCCTCATCGGACGGCCAGCTGTCTAGCAGGCGTTGCATGTCACGTCCATTCGAGGGGAAGTGACTCTCGTTCAATAGGTAAAGCATCTGGTAATTTCTGTCAATGTACATTTCCTTCAAAACGTGAAAAGGAATACTGGTGGTTGTCGTGGTCCTCACTATACAGTAAAGGTGTGGCATGAGCTCCGGGGAAATGGGGAAGTTGGAGGCCGGGTCCGAGACCCCCTTCTCTGAGGAACTCATCTGCCGCCGCCTTCCAACGCTCTTGCGCCCGAGAGTGCCCTAGCCGGAACCTTCGGCGCGTGCCATCAGGCAGAGTTGTGCGGCCCTCCTCCTAGGCGACCAGCCTTTGAAGGAGGACCAACGCACGCCTTCCGTTGCGTCAAAGTGCGCAGCGCCACAGGCGGGTTGGAAAATAGATTTCTTTTTCTGCGGCCCACGAATCCAGTAGGCAACTAGAGATTCCAGCCTCCAGAGGTGGTTACAGCACGGAGGCGCCACAGGGCACTGTGGACAAGCCGGTAGCCTGGATCGCCAGCCACGGCTGAGCACGTAGCCCTAGCGGAACGTCTACCAGCGGAAAAGCAGTCGAAAGGTGCCACGATAGGATCTAGGATGCGCAAACATGCGGTTCGAACTCTCTACAGCCTTGGGCCAAAAACAAAAGATCGATGGGCTCAGGGCCGTAGGACGCAACGATCTTCTGCCTTTTAGCCCCAAAATTTTCCTCGCAATCGGAGCTTAACGATTGTGGACTCTCTCGCTACCCTCACTCTCTCACTCGTGTTGGCTGTCTTGACGAACTATCGTGGCTCAAGAGCTCTCTTCCACGGGCTCTTGCAGGACGGAAAATCCCCTGTGCTTTGCCGATAAATAGCCGACGGGGAGAGAGCTCCAGCCAGCGGCGTACCACTAGGAAGCTGATTCAAAATCGAAAGGGTGTTGAGCCTACAGCCTCGGGCCAAAAGCGAAAGATCGATGGGGCTCAGGGCCGTAGGACGCAACGATCTTCGGTCTTTTAGCCCCAAAATTAGGACGAGCGAATCCGAGCTCAACGATTGTGGACCCGAGCGGAGCGAACGAGCTCACGGAGCGAGCGGAGCGAACGAGGGAGCGGAGCGAGCGAGTGAGCGGAGCGAGCGACTGAGCGGAGAGACCGGCCGGGCCAGTTCGTACCAGAACAGGTCGAACACTTGTCCTTCCGCTAAGCGCAGAACTGGATCACAAAACTGACCAATGCCACGGACATAGCAAGGTGTTAAGCAAACGCAAAAGGCTTCGCTCTTAGTCAGCGTCGCAACATAAGGACGGAGGCTCTCTCTTGTGTAGCAGGGTGTTGGGCCCACAATCGATCAGCTAGAAGGAAGCCCAACACCCTGCTACACAAGAGAGAGGCCGCAGCTTTTTCGCGTTTTCTGGGCCATGCGAGATACTCTGCGTGGCTACTCTTTGTGGCTACTCTTTGTGGCTACTCTTTGTGGCCACTCTCTGTGGCTATTTTCTGTGCTACTCTCTGTGGCTACTCTTTGTGGCTACTCTTTGTGGCTACTCTTTGTGGCTACTCTTTGTGCTGCTCTTTGTGGCTACCTGCCGTGCCTTGGTGCCTTCACTTGGTGCCTTCACTTGGTGCCTTCACTTGGTGCCTTCACTTGGTGCCTTCACTTGGTGCCTTCGCTGCCTTCTGTTGTTCAGGCTTTCCTGTCGGAAGCCCAGCCTTGCGGCCGCATCGCAATTTTCCCGAGAGCAGCGCGCGTGTAAGCGGCGACAGCCCACATGCGGCTCCACTTTGTGAAAGCGGCGAGCGTTGAAAGAAACGGGCTTGTCGTGCATGTCCATCCAAGAGCCCCAAAGCTGCTGAGTGTTGCGCTTCATAACTCGCAGTTCCGAAGACGTGCCATCATCGTCTTCGACCCAGATCCTGCCCCTTGTGAAGGATCCGAGAGCGATAGCGTGGTTCGGCTTGCCAATCATGTTCTGGATGTCTCGATGCAGGCCAATGCGAGGGTTCACCACCGCGAGGGAAGTCCAAGTCCCATCGGGAAAGCGGCTTCGCAGAAAGTGATTGAGAGCCGCGCAGGCGGCTCGGTTGACGGAAGCCTTGGAGGCAGGGGGCGTTGCCTCCAAAGGCGACTTCCACTCGGGCGACCACAGCTCCAGCAGGCGAACCACATTGTCTTCGGACGGAGATTGCATCACTGCTTCGCACGCAGCTTGCATTTTATGTGAGCAGTCGTGGGGGTTGGGGTGGGCGGTTGAAGTCCCTGAGCTGGCGCACGGCCAGGGGCTCCGGCCGCCGAGTCAGCCGGGCCACGGGCTCGCCGCTGTCCCGGAGCACGGGCAAGGCGTGCTTGAGCAGGGTCTCGCTGCCGTCGGTGGCGCGGACCGTCATGGAGTCGAAGCTCGCCACGTCCTTCGCGGGGCCGTACTGTGGCTGGAAGCTCCTCTGGGCGTTCGTCGGAGCGCGGAAGGCGCCGGCCTCCTCGAGCCGCTGCCGGCCCTCCATGAGGTCCTTGTTGTGCTGGAACTTCTCCGCGTTATCGTGGTAGACCCGGAAGCTGGCGGCCGGCTTGGTCTCCACGTCCTCGGGCGCCACCGTCACCGCCGCGTGCGGTCGGGCGTTGTAGGCCTCCGCCACGTCGTCCACGTGGTCCCCCCAGCCGCCGCCGCTGCGGGCCACCTTGCCCGCCAGATCCTTCTTCAATGTTTGGATGGCGCGGTCTATGACGGCGGTGGCGTTGCGATCCGCCGGGTCCTTCTGCCGGTGCACCGCGCCTCCGGGCAGCGCCGCCTCCAAGCCCCGAAACTCGTTCCGGCCCCATGTCGGTCGTGACCACGACGTTGGTTTCGTCCTGGACCAGCTCGGGGATGATCTCCGCGGCCGCTCGGGTGACGGTATCCGCCCGCTTGTCGGGCAGGGCCTTCGTGGCCACCTCCCGGGTGAACACATCCGTCACCACAAGCCCGTACTTGTTCGCCCCCCTCGTGTTCTGGGAGAAATCCACCAGGTCCGCTTGCAAGCGGTCGTTCGGCCCCTCCGCCGCACTCTTCCCCAGACTCCGCGGCTTCGGTGCGAGCACCTGCCGCGCCACGTCGCTGCGCAATGCCGCCTGAGCCCGCGCACTCGTTATTAGGTCGCGTCGCTCCGGAAACTCCCGTCGAGCGATCTGAAAGAGCTTGCGGGGATCCCGCACGTTGAAGTCCCGGGCCAGCCGCCCGAGGAGCTCCATCGCCCCATCCTCCGCCATTTTCTTAGTCCGAGTCGCCCTTGCGACCCTTCTTCTTCTCCAGCTTCTCCACTCGCTTCTGCAGGTCCTTGCACACCCCCCAGAGAACCGCCACCATGCGCTGGTAGTTCAGGGTCAGCAGCCCCTCGTCCGTCCGGTGGGTGAACATGGGCCCCAGCTTCCCGGCGGCCTCCACCTCCTGCGCGATGAAGCCGATCTGGTCCTTCTGCTCGCTGTCCGAGCGATCGTAGATCTTGGGCTCCAGGTTGTCGAAGATCTCGATCATGTCCCGGTGCTTGATCGCTCGGAGGTTGGTCTTGACGCTCGCGTCGGAGGTCTCCGTGAAGCCGTAGGTGGCCACCATCCAGCCGGGCAGCGACGGGTTGCTCTGGGGGTAGATGATCACGTTGGCGCTGCTGAAGCCGCCGGAGACATTCGTGAAGCTGATGCTCTGGTTGATGCTCGCCAGGGTGCAGCCGCCGCTGGAGGCCACCTCCAGGTCCGCGCCGCCTAGCCCGCCGTTCGACAGCAGCCGCAGCCGGGCGAAGCCCGTGCCCGAAGTGTTCTCGACCTCGGCGGTGACGATGGGCTGGTTGCCCGTCACCTGCATCGTTTCGCACTGGTGCTGCACGCCCTGCGTCCCGCCGACCAGCTGCAGCCAGTTGCTCGTGGTCACGAGCCCGGGGTCCGCCACCAGGGCGCCGCCCATGTAGACCGCCCCCGTGTTCACGTAGATGCCCTGGGTGCCGCCCGTGATCGTCAGGTAGTCGTCCGTGGGCCGGGCCTTCATGATGGGGCTGCGCAACTCCGTGGTGAGCTCCACGCTGGTGCCCGCCACGGCCAGGCCGCCGTTGGCGGAGATGAGCCCCGTGGCCGCGATGGTGGAGCTGGTGTTGAAGGCTCCCGTGGCGGCGGTGCTGCCCACGAAGAACTGGGCGAAGTCCGCCGTGGTTGCGTTGAGGGTGCTGGCCGCGGCCACCGTGACGTCCCGGTCCATGCTGATGCCGCCGTCGGCGAAGCTGGCCAGCAGCGCCCCGTCCTCCTTGCGGATCGTCACCAAAGCGTTCTGGACCTGCAGGTCCCCCGCCGAGCTCCGGAGCTCGGGCGTGTCCACGAAGCTCGTGGCCGTGAGGCTGTTGACCACGAGGTCCGCCGTGGGGGCGACCCCGCCGCTGCTCTCCAGGGCCGTGACGCGGGTGTCGATGGAGGTGACCGTGGAGCCCAGGCTGTTGAAGGTGGCGACCAGGGGGTACCGCGTGTCCGACTGGCCCTTGGACCAGCAGTCGCAGCTGATTTGGAGGGTCGACCCATTCCCCAGGATGGGCTGGCAGGACAGCGGGGTCTGGCACAGGAGGTTTCGAATCACTGTCGGAACGAACTGGGTTTGCGCAAGATTGAAGATGCCTCCTCCCTCGGCCCCGGGAGTGGTGACGAAGTACCTAGCATCGAGCGGACCCAGATCGGAGGTGGTGAGGTACCGCGAGTCGGACTCGCTCTTGGAGTAGCAGTCGCAGGTGATCTGGAGAGTGCTGCCGTTGCCGAGGATGCTGGCTCCGGCCAGCGGCGGCTGCAGCAGCAAGTTTTTGATGATCGGAGGGAAGAACGTGTTCTGCACGATCTGATGAATGGAGCCGCTGGCGGCACCGGGCGGGCGCACCAGGTACCGGGCGTCCCCCGAGGTTTGGTCCAGGAAGCCGGCGCCGGCGATGGCGTCGTCGATCTCGCTCTGCGTGCGCCCCGACGTCCAATACTGGGTTAGCGTGGCCGTGAGCAGGGAGTCCAGCTCCGTGCGTGGATAGTAGGCCAGCAGCTCGTTGGCCACGTAGGCCTGCGTCCCGGCCTGGTCGTAGTAGCCAGACAGGTCGATGCCCGCGAGGGCATCGGCGATCTCCTGTGTGACCTCTGCGGAGGTCGAAAAGTCCAGGAGAGCCGTGATGATCTTGCTGTCGACTTGAGTGCTGTTGTCGTAGCTCGACAGGGCCGAGCTGATGGCCGAGGAAACCGAGGCGTTCGTTGCGTAGTTCGACAATTCTCCCGCCAGGAAGCTCGACACCTCCGTTTGGTCCCAGTAGGGCACCAGGGCGGTGCTGATCAGGGCCAGCACGTCCGCCTCGTTCTGGAACTGCGACAGATCGAGCGCATCGAGGGCCGCCGTGATTGCAGCTCCGGTTTCGAGCTGGGTGTAGGTCTCACTGCGGGCGTAGGAGTCCGACTCGATCAAAATCGTGTCGTCCAGATTTTGGAAGGTGGCCGTCAGGGCTCCGGCCACAGAGAGGTTGCGGAGCACGTTCGTGCCCCGGAGCAAATTGAAGGTGGGCCCGCCGTTCCAGGACTGCCCGTTGGCCAGGGTGACCGGCACGAGGGCTGCGGTGATGGCGGCTTGGACCTGGGCGATGGTCCAGTAGGGCGACAGGTCGGTGGCCGCCGCTGCGATGGCGGCGTCCGTCTGAGCGGAAGTGTAGTAGGCCGCGAGCGCTGCAGCTAGCGCAGCCGTGATGGCCGCCTGCACTTGAGCTATCGTCCAGTAGGGGCTCAGGTCGATGGTGGCCAACCCCGCCGCGATGGCGCTGTCGGTTTGCGCCGAGGTGTGTAGAAGGCCGCCAGGGCTGCAGCTATCGCTGTGTCCCTTTGGACGATGGTCCCGTAGGGCACCAGCGCATCGGCGATGGCCTGGGTCAGTTGCAGCGTGGTGCTGTAGTCGGCCAGCTGGGTGTCGGTGTAAGTGTTGGCCGACGCAATCGCGGCCACGATGTTCGCCGTGGACTCCGCCCGCGTGAAGTAGTCGGCCAGAGCCGCCGTGATGGCGGAGTTGGTCTCTGCGGTCGTGTAGTAACCGCCGAGCTGGGCGAGCACCCAGGACTCGCTGGCCTTCGGGAGCAGCAGGGCGTCAGCCTCCGCCTTGGAGTAGGCGTCGCAGGCGAATGACAGGGTCCAGTTGTCGTTTGCGAGGGCGATGCTGAGAGGTGCCGTGGCGTGTAAGTTACGGATTTGGTTCGTCCCGGCCAACAGGTCGTATGTGAGCTCGCCTTGCCAGGCGGGTGCGTTGACCAAATTGGTGGCACCGCCCAGGGTGGCGATCTCGGCCAGGAGCCCGTCGATGGCGGATTGCAGCGAGACCTGCAGGGAGGTGAGGTCCGAGGTGGTGGCGAAGGGCCCGGCATTCTGCAGCGCAAGGATCGCCGCGTCGGCGGCGTCCAGCCGGGAGTCCTGGAGGGCTTGGCCGGCATCATAAGCGCCCTGGGTGACGTACCCCAGCAGAGCCGTGGTCAGGTCGCTGCCGGTCTGATAGCCGGCGGCCTGCAGGGCTGCAAGCAGCGCCTCCGCTGCGTCCAGCCGGCCGTCTCTCAATGCCATCGCGGCGTCGAAGGCCACTTCCTGGACGTAGGGCAGCAGCGCAGTGGCGATGAGCTGACTCACGTCGGCTGGCGTGGTGCGGAGGGCTAATCCAGCCGTGAGGTCGCTGGTGCTGGCCATGGGGAGCAGGGCCGTGGCGATCAGCTGGGAGACGTCGGCCGCTGTTTGCCGGGCGGCGACGTCGAGGGCCAGCTGGTCCACGACACTTTTGAGCGCATAGGTTGCGGCCACGGTGGCCAGGGTTGCGTTGTTGGCGCTGGTCACGGCGCTGTTCATTGCTGCCGTGGTCGGATGGTTCGCCAGCTTGAGGTCCACGCTGGCCGGCGTGCTCTTAGAATCGACCTGGACCTGGAGAGCATCCAGGGCCGACTGGTTTGCCTTGGTGGCCAGGCCCTGGGTCAGGCTGGTGTTCACGGCCACCAAACCGGAAGCGTTGGCGAGGATGGAGCCCTCTGCGGCAGCGAGGTCAGCGGCTAGAGCATAAGGGGCCAGATCGGGAGCGGCGGGCAGGGCATCCACTTGGCCCTGCAGTGCCGCGATGGCGGCGGCGTTGACTCCGATGGCCGCGGTGTGTGCCGTGTGCTCCGTTTGCGGGGTATACGCTGTGAGCACCGT